TAATTTATTATTGAAGGAAAAATATTTGTGATAAATTTAGTATAGTCTAAGTATACCATGTTTATAAACTAAGTGCACATGTTTATAAAGTATTGTCACATTCTCACTCACTGACTCACCCAGAGCAACTTCCATTTCTTTGAACTGTAATCATGTTGAGTGCCCTATACAGGTCCACCAATTTTTTCTCTCATACTGTATTTGTACTGAACCTTTACTATGTTAAGAGATAGAAATACTCACCATTGTGTTCGTTTCCTACAGCATGCAGTGTGATATCACGTATATGGGTTTGTAGCCTAGGAGGAATAGACTCTTCTGTATAGCCTGTGTCTGTAGTCCGTTGTACCATCTAGGGTTGTGTAAGTGTGCTGTGAAGTTACTCGGAAGACAAAATCGCCTGACTGTGATAGGCTACTCAGAAGGTGTCTGTGTTGTCGGCCAGGCACGGTGGCTCACGCCTGTACTCCCAGCACTTTGGGAGGCCGAGGCAGTGGGTGCTGGGGGATCAAGAGGTCAGGAGACCAAGATCATCCTGACCAACATGGCGAAAACCGGTCTCTACTAAAAATAAAAAAAATTAGGCGTGGTAGCAGGTTCCTATAGTCCCAGCTACTCGGGAGGCTGAGGCAGGAGAATAGCTTGAACCCAGGAAGTGGAGGTTGCAGTGAGCCGAGATTGCACCACTGCACTCCAGCTTGGGTGACAGAGACTCCCATCTCGACAAAAAAAAAAAAAAAAAAAGGAAGTTATTTGTGTTGTTAAGCAAAGCATGACTATAATTGCAGGTATGGAGAGGATGGCCCGGTGCAGGAGCCAGTAGTCCCTGAATCTGACATTTAGACCCCACGCTTTGGTGGGAGGAATGTTGAGTAGTTGTGGCACCTTTAATGTACCACACCAAGGAATTTAAAGACTGGATCTTCATAGCTTCAAGCCCTCAAGTCACATGACAGAACCATTTTTGTGACCCATGTAGGGCTTCAGTCAGGATGGCCTGGTGCGGTGGCATGTGTCTGTAGTCGCAGCTGCTTGAGAGGCTGAGACGGGATCTTGCTGTGTTGCCCAGGCTGGAGTGCAATGGCTGTTCACAGGCACAATCCCAGTACTGATCAGTACAGGAGTTTTGACCTGCTCTATTTCCGACCTGGGCCAGTTCACCCCTCCTTAGGTAACCTGGTGGTCCCCCGCTCCCAGGAGGTCACCATATTGATGTAGAACTTAGTGTGGACACCCAATTGGCATAGGGTACTGCAGCCCAGAACTCCTGGGCTCGAGGGATCCTCCAGCCTCAGCCTCCCGAGTAGCTGGGACTACAGGCCCGCACCACTGTGCCCAGCCCTCCTGACTGACACCTACAACCCGATTCTTTCAAGGACCGTTTATCGTTCTCTCAACTTTCCCCATTCCTACTCCAACGCCTGCCCCACTCTCATGGTTCACTCTGTACCCCCAAATTTTGGACCGCCCGAAACTCCTCCTCCAAGAGCGTAGTTGATGCTGCTCTGATTTTCTGCTTTCCCGGGTAGCAGGGCCCTGCTGCTACGCCTCCAGATGATGCATTTATTCATGGTGGCAGGTGTATTCGATGAAACTAAAGAGATTGGAAAATTATGTAAAATGTTTGAGAATGTGCACGCTTGTGCTTACATTTAATGGGCCCATTTGAAAAAGTGCCTGAACCCTGAAGCCAAGACAAAGTTTGCTGTCTCTGAGGCTGTGTGTTTAAATATTTGCGATTCTGAAGAGCCTGATTCAGCGTGTTTTTCCCCATTCTCATCCCCTTCCCAGTTACGTCTCCCATGTGCGGGCATTTTCCTATTCATTTCCTTCATGATTTAGATGGTGACAGTTACATCTGCATTATAATCCTTCATCCTGAGTCTTTTACAGATATTATCCAGAGATAAGCAATGGTGTCTTTCTTTTACAGGTGGGGAAATTAAAATATGCATAAATTAGCCTGAAAAAACGGTAGCACAAAACCCAGGGAGATCGTACACCTCTCCCTTCATTTCGCTCCCTTGTCCCTACTACAGGGTTTTCTAACAGCAGTCCTCTTGGCCTTTGGGGCGGCATAGTTCTTTTTTATTTTTATTTTATTTATTTATTTATTTTGAGATGGAGTCTCGCTCTGTCACCCAGGCTGGAGTGCAGTGGGATGATCTTGGTTCACTGCAACCTCTACCTCCCGGGTTCAAGCAGTTCTCCTCCCTCAGCCTCCCAAGTATCTGGGACTACAGGCGTGTCCCACCACGCTTGGCTAATTTTTTGTATTATTAGTAGAGATGGGTTTCATCGTGTTAGCCAGGATGGTCTAGATCTCCGGACCTCATGATCCACCTACCTCGGTCTCCCAAAGTGCTAGGATTACAGGCATGAGGCACGGTGGCGCCCGGCCAATAGTTCTTTGTAATGGGGCTGTCATGTGCATTATGGGATGTTTAGCAGCATCCCTGGCCTCTACTCACAGATGGCAGTAGCATCCTCCTACTCCCCACCCCAGTCCCACCAAGTAGTGACAACCAAGACTGTCTCCAGGCATTGCAGATGTCCTGAGGGTTGGAGGGAGGGAGGTGAATGGTCCGTGGTTGACAACTACTGCCTTCCAGTAGAGCATTTGAAGATCCTGGGCATCAGAGACTCTGAATTATTGGTCTGAGGCACGTAGGGCCTGGGGCACAGAATATATTTTAAAAATGTTTTCAGTGTTTCTGATGTACCATCAGGGTTAAGAATGTGTTCCAGGCGAGGTGTGATGGCTCATGCCTGCAATCAGCACTTCAGGAGGCTGAGGTGAGTGGATCCCTTGAGGTCAAGAGTTTGAGACCACCCTGACCAACATGCTAAAACCTCAGTTCTACTAAAAATACAAAAAATTAGCTGGGCTTGGTGGCGCGTGCTTGTAATCCTAGCTACTCAGGAAGCTGAGGCAGGTGAATCGCTTGAACCCGGGAGGCGAAGGTTGCAGTGAGCTGAGATCCCACCACTTCACTCTAGCCTGGGTGAAACAGAAAGACTCTGTCTGAAAAAAAAAAAAAAAAAAAATCTAAGAAAAGGAAAAACCATCTGTCCCAGAATTCAGATTCTAGCTCTCTAAACCTGTTTCCCAATATGTGATACTAAAATGATAATACTCTACCTGTGTCATACAACTGTGAGCGTGAAATCTGGTAATATTAAAGCACAGTGCCATTATTTTCTCACTGCCTACTAGCTTTCATGATGCTTCTCATGTCTCGCTTGCATCTTCCCTCCTCTTTCTTCTTGGGAGCAGGTATAAGAGCAGAGCGGGGGACCGCAGCACCCATCTGGGTTGGGGATTTGCATTTTGAGTGTGGGAGTAGGGCATGTGAGGGAGCTGACAGCAGAGTGGGGTGATGGTTCCGACAGTTAAGGGCAAAGGGACCCTCCATAGAGGAATAGGGGTGGTAGAGTGATGTGAGGCTCCGAGAGTTCCTACAAATATGGCAAGCCCGTAATTGTAGGATCTCTGAGAAAATGAGCTTCTTTATGAAGCCGAGGTCCAGCTTCTTGAACTGAGAATAGGTGTCCAAGGTGGGGTGAAGGCCAAAGGAGTTAACGGTGCCGTGGATGTGGATTTGAGGCTGTGGGATAGTTCATCCCGAATGGCCGAACCTCCCATGCTGACCTAAGGTCGGGTCATGAAGCAGGCCTGGGAACCAGAGGACATGGTCACATTAACCCTGGATGGGAGGGACCCAGTTAATCAGAACTGCGTTTTGACATGGTTGGGATAACGAGGTGTCTGGAAGCTCATGCATGGGAGCAAGGGCTGTGCGTAGTTCTGGGAAAGAAAAGGCATCTCTCCGGTGCCCTCCTTCAGTGGACGTATTGGGTGCTGGAGGAAACGTCATTGTTCTGCCTTGCACCCAGGGCAGAATGCAACTGGAGTGAACGTTAAGGGCCAGGTTTCCATTCACGGAAGGCTGTGTGTGCTTCAGTAGAAGGGACAAAATCCAGAAGTATGAACTCCCCATTCTTCCAGAGGCTGGATGATGGTGTCCTGTCTGGGATGCCCTAGAGTGGGGCTTTCCCATCTTTTCCGAGTCGTGCCACATGTAGAAAATGGTAACTGCCGTGCTGCAGGAAGAAGATAGAAAAGTTGCTTGAGGATGCCAGCTCTGCCCAGTAGCTTTGAGGACATAAACAGATGAGTCTTGTCACCTGTAATTCAGTCACAGCACACTGAGGTGCCTCAGCACTCCATTTGGGAAGCCCAACTCCGGAGGATGTTTTTGGTATCATTGGAATGCAGTGTGTGGGCAGCATATTTCCCCTCTTGAGATTGTTTCCCCATTTCATAGCACCATCCTGCAAGGCACATGTCATGACGCTTAAGTGGCAGTGAGTTATTGGACCCTACACCTCTCCCAGGGTCACCCTGGGCTCAAGGATCCGTGTCGAGGCCCATGCGCCTGGCTGCTTAGTTGAGATGACCCCTTGGGTTCCCTTCAATCCTGCCAATCTTCTGTTCTTTGAATTATACCCCAGATGCGGGCAGAAGTGTTTGTGTAACCCTTCGGTCCTTTTATTAGGTTGAACCTAACGCAACCCATCTTGTAGGAACGTTTTACGCACTCTGAGCCATAACTTCTCAGCGTGAGATCTGAGATTGTTGGTTTATACTTTCAGGACGTATTTCTTTTCTCTCTGTTTAGCCAGTTATCATTTTCGCTCGGTTTGGGGACAGGAGACTCACTGTTTGCCTATTTGAGCCAATCACCATCTCTCTTCTTCTCAAAATGTAATTGGAAGGAGCCTTAATGGTTTCCAAATGATAATAGCACCATAAACCGATTAAAAAGGCCTTAATAAAACTGTCTTGAGTTATTTTCCGTAGCTGCAGGCAGTGTGCTTTGTTTTCTAATGATGCCAACAAGAAATCAGGACATTTTTTCTTTCTAGTGTGATCTAAAGTACCGGGAAGGCCTTCTTCTGCCCGTCTGATTACTCATCCCGTTTTCTTTTCTTCCCAGACAATCCACGTTGCTATTGTCTGCGCCGGATACAATGCCAGCCGGGATGTCGTCACCCTGGTCAAATCCGTCTTGTTCCATAGGTAAGAACAACTTTTGTGCTGTGTGGACTGAGGTCTGTGACTGCCTGCCTGTGTATTTCCTTGGGGAAGGGTTAAATAAGAGCAGAATTTCTCATTAGTCATTCTAGCTGCCATGAAAATATAATTTTTGTCTGAAAGCCTGAGGAGATGATTGTGTTAACAGTGTTTAATGACAGTGATTAGGTGTTGTCATGCCGTGTGTAGAATTGTAACTCTCAGACCTAAAGCAACCTTAAGCGACACCCCAAATCTGATGGCTTCAGTCATCGGCCTCCCCTGCCTGGCATTCACTTGACCTCTCTTGTTACACATCCTTGTTGGAAGTTTGTGTTATGGATTGGGTTATATGCACCATAATTCTTACGTTGAGGCTCTGATCCCTGGTGCTTGAGAATGTGACTATATTTGGAGATAAGATTCTTAAATTAGATTAAAACGGGATCATTAGAGAAGGTCCTAATCTAATCTAACAAGGGTCCTTTAAAATAAAAGGAGGTTAGGATACAGACGTGTGAAGCACAAAACCTGTGATGAACCCACGTGGAGGAGGAGGCCATCTGCAAGTTAAGAGAGCAGCCTCAAGCGATCTTGGACTTTGAACCACACAGACTGTGGGAAAATCAATTTCTCTTGTTTTAACCACCCATTCGGTGGTGTTTTCTTACACACAGGTTGTTTCCTCTGTTCCAGTGTTGGCTGTCCCACTTCTGGGCATTTCTGACCGTAAATTACATTAAACTGAATTTTCCTAACTGGTGGATGCTCTCCATTGACTCCCATGGAGCCCCCCAGGGGAACCATCATTTTAAGGACTGGTCCCTTTTCTACCTGGAATTGATAATCCCTCTGGATGCTCATCGCTTCTCCATTTGAAACTCGCAACATTTGTTTCTACTTTCTCATGGAAGTTTTCTTCTGTCCCTCACTATTTTGATTGGCATCTAGACGTACCCAGGGTCCAATCCAGAATGGTGTCCACGGTTCCAGCCACTGGCCTTGGCTCTGCTCTAACACTCTTGCCAAGGGTTTGGACAAAGCTGATCCATAGCTGTAGCCAGCAGCACAGAAATGTATAGGGTGGGTGAGTCAGGATCCCAGAGGTTCTCAATAGTAGGAATAGTGGCGAAAAGTTTGCCGAGGTCACCTGAACAGAGATCAGTGTAAAATGCCGCGCCTGAATCTATCAGTGGCATAAACAAAGACGGGAGCCCTGATGGGCTTCCCAGACCTACTGCCCTGCGAGGACCTGGGATTCGTCATTTGTTCCACCTTCTCTCTGTCTTCCAGCAAGCCCATCTGCAGCCAGTGCTTTGTGATTCTCCCCCTGAGATAGTTTTCACTTTCACCCCTTTCTTTCCCATTCCCACTGCAACTGATGAAGTTCGGGGCCACCTGTCCTCCCACCTGCATGTGTCCTTCCTGCCTCCCCAGTCTCTACTCTTCAGATCATCTGCTGTGATTCCAGAAGGACGTTTCAAACAGGCACATCTGATTTCTCCAGACCTTTTAGCGAATTCTCCTTGACAAGGGGTAGAAAGCAAACCTCTTTGCCATGGCACAAAGACAAGGTTGATCTCCATAGTGCTTTCTCTCTACTCTTTTGGCTTTGACTTCACACTCCAGCAGCACTGACCTGCTTGTGGCTCCACATGCTCCCCATAGCATGCCCCGCCTGTTGTGGCTCGGCATGCTGCTGTCTGCCCATTTCTCCCTCCTTTGTCTATTCCGTCCCACCCTCACATTGGCAAACTCCCTCTTAGCCTTTAAGACTTTACATACTCATCTTTTCTAACAGCAAGCCCTTCTTCTGTCTGGGTTGGGGTTTCTCGTCTACCAGCCCACAGTACCCTGTGGATCTCTCCATCATTAGATTTATTACATTATCATTTATATATCTAGTCATGATAGGTCTGCTGTAACACATTGTGCTACAGAACCCATGGAAGACAGAACCCATGCTTTCGTTTTCTATATCCCTAGTATCTTATCAAAGTACCTGGTATGTATTACATGCTCAATAAATGTTCTACTTATTGGAGAAGTTAATCTGGGGGAGTTCATTAATAAAGAACGTGAAGTTATTTATTCAGCCCTGACTTAGTTCAGTTCCACATTCATAGCACTGTATAGCTGAGTGATTTTCAGAAGATCATTTTAACTTTATTTTTGTTTTAATTTGTGAGATGGAGTCTTGCTCTTGTCATCAAAGCTGAAGTGCAGTGGTGCGATCGTGGCTCACTGCAACCTCTACCTCCCGGATTCCAGCGATTCTTCTGCCATAGGCACCTGCCACGACACCCAACTAATTTTGGCATTTTTAGTAGACACTGGGTTTCACCATGTTAGCCAGGCTAGTCTCAAACTCCTGACCACAGGCGATCCACCCACCTTGGCCTCCCAAAGTGCTGGGATTACAGGTGTGAGCCACCACCCGCAGCCATTTTAGTAGACTTGAGTGTTTTTTCATCAGTTCACTTTTGCTGTGCGTCCGTTCACCCTAAAACTGATTGGTCTGAAACATTGACTCATTAGTTAGTTTTTTTCTGCTGGGCTCATCTGTGTGGTTCTTTTGCTGGGCCCCTTATATGCCTGTAGCAAGCTGGTAAGTTAGCAAGCATCAAATTCACTGCCCGTTCCTGAATGGGGAAGTGGGTAGGAGAAGAAAGCAATCAGCAGATAGGCAGCAGGTCACTGGAGAGGCTGTCAGTTCTTCCTCATAGCGCTGTCCACTTGGAATTGTGATTTCAGTTTTATATTTGAGAAGGAAATGGGAAAAACAAATAAAGAATGGCCAAACGGGGCTTGACCTGCTGTCTTCTGACTGGAGGTGAGATGCCCTTTCCACAGTGTTACTGTTTCTCTGTAGTTTTAAAGACTCCTTGCAGTACTATGGCCTTCATCCTGCAGCTTTAAAACAGGCATTTTTGTACACTACATATTGAATAAGATGAGTGATCTTCAGCCTTTCATGTACTTACTATTTGTTACCATTAAAGACCTCAGGTCCATGCCTGAAAGAGAGAGAGAGAGAGAGAGAGAGAGAGAGAGAGAGAGAGAGAGAGAGAGAGAGAGGGGAGAGAGAAAGAGAAAGGCCCCTTTCTAGAAAAGGGTATTTGCATAATTATAGGTATTCAATTATGCTATTTCTCAATTATGCAAAGCTAAAGGTCATAAAAACGTCTAGTGTTGTTGTGCATAAATTTTATTCCTGTTGCTTTAGCTACAAATCAAATAATCTAATAGTTGTTGAAATGGTAAGAATCCTGTTGGGTATAAACTTTTACTCCTACAGTAACTGCGGCACAAAGATGTTAAATTTTAAAATAGCAGTAGTAGTATTATTAGCTGCTGATGGCATGTCATGCTTTTAAGATGGCGTGGGGACTTGAGAAGAAAGCAAATCCTTAGTATGTGTCATGAGAATTCTGCATTCCAGTTGTTATGCTGAGCCCTCATCAACTCTAGTGGGCGTGGCACCAGGTTCAAGAGGTCAGAGAAGAGACACAGGGCCAGCCAACGAGACACTGGGCTTGACTTGGGGCTTACATGTAGAGGGAGAGAGTCCAGTGGCAGTGGGCTGGACAGGAGGACTGCCTTACATACACTCCAGTGGCAACAGGCCAGACAGGAGAACCCCATGGCCCAGTGGCAGCGGGCTGGGCAGGAAAACTGCAGCTACCTAGAAAGGCATGCAGTTTATATAACATTTTCACTTGGCACCTGTATTCGTCCGTTTTCATACTAATGTAAAGAACTGCTTGAGACTAGGTAATGTATAAAGGAAAGGGATTTAATATGCTCACAGCTTAGCATGGCTGGGGAGGCCTCAGGAGACTCACAATCATGGCGGAAGGTGAAGGGGAAGCAAGGTGTCTTCTTCACAAGGCGGCAGGAAGGAGAAGGGCTGAGCGAAGGGGGAAGATCCCCCCAGAAAACTATCAGATCTGGTGAGAACTTACTATTATGAGAATAGCACGGGGGAAACCACCTCCATAATTCAGTAACCTCCACTCAGGCTCTCCCTTGACACATGGGGATTATGGGGATTATAGGGATTACAATTCAAGATGAGACTGGGGTGGGGACACAAAGCCTAACCTTATCAGCATCTTTTCCCTAACAACCACCATTTCCCTAACAACCAAGAGGCACCACTTCAATCACCCCAAACCTTAGGCCCTCAGTTCCCTGGATGGCTTGTGTTTTATGGGACAGTTTGGGAGCTCAGATGTTTCTTAAAATTAATGAATCTCCAGGTTGACCTCTCCTGAAGTCTCCAGTTCAGAATACTCATTCAGGTGCGTCTGTCATACGGGGTCATTCTCAGGGTATACTTAAGTTACTGCTATCAACTGCGTTTACCATATGCCATTTTAATGATGACTTGACCAACTTGGACCAAATTACCATGGAAGTTCCTGCCATTCCTGAAATTCTACAAATGGAAATGATTCTGTGAATTGATATGCTGGTGATGAGTTGAGATATCAAGACAAAAGGACATTTAAAAGACTTTCAGCTCAGCAAGTCCAGCTATAAATAGCATCATTGCTTCCCAAGCACATTATGAAGATTAACTAATACATGGTTATAAAATACATTGACAAATGAAGTACCTTCCTAATGTTAATAATAATATGATAGTAGTGGTACAGGATGCTTCTTTTGGCTTTGGCTGTTAATTACAGTAATTAGATTTATTTTCCAGACAAGATTTTTAGCAAATTTTCATTTAAGACTTGCTTTGTTACATCAGATCAGTTTTACTTCTGCCATATGCTTGATGACATATTTTAAAAGACAGTAGAAGAGTAATATAGGCACTTTTGCACACAAATGCCAGCAGTGACAATTGCTATGACCTGTTGGAGAGAAATTCATGCAAGGTGGGAAGATCTTGACCCAGTATGACTCCTTTAGGGACTCTGCCTTAAAAAGATAATTCCTAACAATAGAAAGAACCTTCTGTAAAATATTGCTTCATAATTATAAAATTAGAA